CAAGCTGGAGATAAAGATCCGTCATTCCTACTTTGGTAATCAGTCCCAAAAGGTAGAGTTGTTGAATCCCTTGGTAACAAAATTTACAAGCTAGTCTTTTGATGAGACATGGTCGATATATATAAGACCACTGTCTAATTTATCCCTTATGAAATGTATGTCCACTTCTATGTGCTTGGTCCTGTCATGTTGAACCAGATTGTAAGATATGCTGATTATTGATTTGTTGTCATAGTATAGCTTCATGGGTCCTTCTCACTTGATCCTTAGGTCTTCTATAATTTTATTGATCCACAGTAGCTCACATATTCGTAAGGTCATAACTTTGTATTCTTCTTTTGCACTAGATCTTGCCACCACATTTTATTTCTTGCTTCTCCATGTAACAAGATTTCCTCCAAGAAATGTGCAGTATCCTGAGGTAGATCGTCTTTCTACTGATGATCCTGCATAATATGCATTAGTATATGCTTCTAGGGTTATTCCAGAATCTCTTTTGAACAGAATCCCTTTACCTAGGATCCCCTTAAGATAGTGCAATATTATGTCTATAGCTTGCATGTGAGTCTGGTTTGGATTTTGCATGAACTGACTGATCATGCTTACAGCAAATGCTATATCTGGTCTAGTGTCGAAAAGATAGATTAATTTTACCACAAATCTCTGGTAATATCCTTTATCTACATTTTAATCTTCTTTAGCTTCCCCTAATTTAAGATTTGGTTCTACTGATGTTGGTTTCGATTTACAAGCAAGTTTACATGTGTTCTTTAAAAAGATCATTAATGTATTTTTATTGTGAAATGAAGATTCCTTTTGATGGAGTGGGCCACTTCAATTTCAAGAAAATAATTTAATCTACCAAAATCATTAATTTCAAGTTCCTTTGCAAGATATTTCTTTAGAATTACTTTCTCATTTTCTTCATTCTCAGTCAAGATGATATCATCCATATAAACCAATAAAATTGCGACTTCTACTGAGTCACTCGTGCTTGAAGAATAATGTATAATCTTCTTGGCTTTGTCGATAACCATTAAGTAACATACATTTGAAAATCTACCAAACCAAGCTCTAGATAACTGCTTTATCCCATATAGAGCATTTTTTAACCTACAAACTTTATTACCCCCAAATTGTTCCTTGAATAATGGTGGAATCTCCATAAATATTTCTTACTCCAAGTCCCATGTAGGAATGTGTTTTTTGATATCGAATTCTAGATGCCAGTTATAATTAGTTGCTAGTGAGAGTAGGATCTTCAGGAACAAAAGTTTCTTAGTAGTCAATCTCATACGTATGAGTGTACCCTTTCTCCACTACTGTTGCCTTATACATTTCTAGTGTACCATCAGCTTTGTATTTCACATAGAAAACCCATTTGCAGCCAATTGGTTTTTTCCCTGCTGGTAGGTTGGTGATCTCTCGTGTATTGTTCTTTTTCAGGGCCCGCATTTCATCTTTCATGTCACTTTTATTATTTTCATCAGATAAGGCTTCAGAAATATCATTAGAAATATGAATATTATTTAGTGTAACCATAAAATTTTTGTGTGAAGGTGAGAAGTTATGGAATGATACAAAGTTAATTATGGGGTTAAGAGAGGATTTTTTTGTGAACTTGTATTTACTTCAATTTCAGGAGACAGTTCATATTCTTGAATCTGCTTTGGAGCATAATTTGTATTTGTACAGCTTAAATACACTTTCCCAAACCTTGTATTATCCATAAAAGCTTTGTTTGCAGTTTCCTTGGCTTTGATTTTAGGTTTAGGTGGATTGGTTTGAGGTGGAGCTAAAAGGTCAAGAGGGGCAAGCTCACTTTCCTCATATTCCTCGGTTTCAATCTCCCCCTGAAGATGAGGTATGGTGAAATAAGATTTTTTTTCATCAAAAGCAACGTCAACAGATAGAAGAGTTTTCTTGTTAGAGGGATGATAACACTTGTAACTTTTATGGGTGGATGAATTTCCAACAAAGATATATTTGAGAGCTCTTGGATCTAATTTTCCACTATTTTGATTGTGAATGTGAACATAGGTAGTGCACCCGAAAATTCTTGCTGTGAGGTTATTATGGGTTCGAAATTCAGGGTAAAAAGAGGATAGAATATCCATTGGTGTTTTTAATCCCAAGGTTGTTGAAGGTGGTCGGTTTATGAGATATGTGGCAGTAAGAATGGCTTCCCCAGTAGGATTTGGATGCATTATGGTTGAATAGAAGTGCACGGGTGAGTGCCAGAAGATGGTCATTTTTTTCTGCAACTCTATTTTGTTGTGGGTATGAATACAGAAAGACTCATGAATGATACCTTGCTTTTGAAAGTAGGAGGATATAATTTGGTTAAAATAATCATTGGCATTGTCAGAACAAAATTTTTTTATTTTTCTCCCGAATTGATTCTGGATCATGGTGTGAATATGGGAAGGATCGTGCTCACATCAGATCTATTATTGAGGAGAAAGATCCAAGAGACACGAGTGCAATCATCAATGAATGAGACAAACCATCGAGCCCCTAAGATGTTAGGAATCTTTTAGGGTCCCCAAATATCATTATGAACAAGGTAGAATGGCCTATGGCATCTCTAAATTTTGTTTGGAAAATAATCTTGTTTATGTTTGGCCAACTCACAAGTTTCACAATGAAAATATTCATTTTTCAACTTGTAAAAAAGTTTTGGGTATATATTTTTTAAGACATCAAAAGATGGATGTTCTAATCTAAAATGATAAAGCCAAATAGTAGATTTTTTTATTAAATAAGGATAACATATAATCGCCATTATTGATAATAGTGGATTTGTTTAGCTCTTCCGGGTAGTACAATCCATTTCTCTCCTTAGCAAGTCCAATCTTCTTCCCTGATCCCTGGTCTTGAAATAAGCAACAAGTAAGATTAAATGGGACTTGACATCATGATCACAGGTAAGTTTTTGCATAGAGATTAGGTTTGTGGATAATTGAGATACGTAGAGCATATTTTTTTTAGAGTGAGGGACGGAGATAAGGGTATGTCTCCTTAGCCTGCTACTATGGTAAGAGAATCATCAGTGGTGATGATTTTCTTATCACTCGAGCAAGGAGTGTAGTTGATGAAGTGGGTAGTGGAGTGTGTCATATGATATATGGCTCCTGAGTCAATGATCCATACTCATTTCAAATGATTTCTAGAGGCACTTAATCCAATGGATATAGAAAATTTATCTGAACGCGCAAGATAAGAAAATTCAGGTGATATTTCAAGTGATACCATGAGTTGTTTTAGCTTATCAATATCTTCTTTGTTGAGCTCTCTGAAACTGGACTATATTTTTTTGTTGGGATAACTTGTTGTAGTGTTAGCTTGTGATGTTCCCTTTTGTCTACTGCTTTGATTCCACTCATTACTTGGGGGCTTTCCATATAACTTCCAGCATGTCTCCTTTGTGTCTTGATTTCTTGCAATAACTACACCAAAGGGAGTCTTTGTCTTGAGGTTTTGAGAAATCCTTACCTCTTTCCTTCCATGACACCTCTTTGGTTATCACCATTGTTGAACTTTCAACAATCTTTGGTTCCACCATTACGCCTCGTCGGCTTTCCTTAATACGACTGAGAGAAATGGTCTCATTTAGTGAGGGTGTCTCCTCTTTGCCAATGATCTAAACTCTAATTTGGTCAAACTCTGTATTTAATCTTACAAGAAAGTCATACACTCTATCTTTCACAATAAAGCTTTTTAAGATATCTGCATCTTCTTGATAATTAGTCTTTATGCATCTATAGTGATCAAATTCTTGTCACAAGCTTTCAAGAAGAGGGGCATGTTTAGTCGCGGTCTTACTTCTTTGTTTTGTGCTTCCCACCTTGACTTTAATTTCGAAGATTTGTGCAGCATCACGAGCTTTTGAGAATGTTTGCCTGGCGGCATCTCATATGTCTTTTGATGTAGATAGGAATATGAAAGTATATCTAATTTTTGGAGTCATGAAATTTCACAACCATGACATGATCATGGAGTCTGCTTCATCCCATGTCCAAAAATTAGGATCTTATTCTTTTGATTATATCCCAAAGAGGTGATTCATCTTTTCTTTTCCCTTCAAATAGGACTTCACAAATTGAGACCACTTCAAATAATTCTTCCCATTTAAGTGATAAAAAGGTTGCATATTTTGGAGATCTCCTCTTTCGTGTGCACCATAGAGCCCTCCATTTGGTCAATTTGGGAGGAATTTGCTTCAGACATTGTGCAAAGGGCAGCAATGAAAGCTATATATCAAGCAAGGAAGCAATAAAGGTTGCATTGGTTATATATAAAATAGCAACAACAAAGAAATGCCGGCAATGAAGGCATGACAATACAAAAAATTTAGAATTCCGGCAACGACAATGAAGGCTTTGTACCATGTTAAATTCAGAGAATTGGAGAGGGAAAAGGCTTAATTTTATTGAACAAACTTGTCCCTATTTATAGATCTATACAAGATATGTTACTAAAGAAACAAATAGTTACAGAATAATGCATAATTGCTCTAATATAATACTTCCTAAATCAGCCATCTAAATATGGAATGATATTAGCATGATCCAAGTGAGCCTCCCACGGATTCCCATCTTAGCCGTGGGATCAAAATGTCAAGGGATGGCTAGGATTTAATAGGTGAGCCTCCCACGGATTCCCATCTTAGCCATGGGATCAAAATGTCAAGGGACGACTAGGATTTAAAAGCTACCATGATCATAAAGATGTTGCCAATGGTAAAACCCAATGGTACTAACAAATATGCCTTAAAATTTCTGAAAAATAGGCAAATAATCATGAAAGCCGAAAAAAAATAACTTCCAGATGCAACAGTCAAAACATGAATCTCTGTAAATTTATGAAGCTGATGAAAATATATATTCAGGATAATAAATAGTGATCAAATAACAATCGCCCATGAAGGGTAAGAAATGCTCTGTTATTTTGTGTGTTCAAGTTCTACTATGAGAGATATAAACTTGGTTCTCCCTTACCTTTGCAACAAGCACACGAAGGGTAAGAAAAGCCTCTTTCCGAAGAGTTGCACTTCCACGATGCCCTCTAGCAGCTTCTTCCTCAGCAGCCTTTACACATATCATCAAAACATAACTAAAAGAAGAAAGCAGAATTCATGTCTGTATATTTACGGCTGAGTTTAATTGATGGATTTGAGCACTTAAAAAGAAAATTAGGAATATTTGTGAACTTAAAATATAGCAAACCCTTATGCTAAAACACTTCCCACGCATAGGCAAAGTTAAAATATATTTAGAATGCCCCTGCTTTGTTTACCTGGAGTAGTAATGATAGCCAGTGGCCTACAGCAGCAGAAGCATCCTTAGATTGAAGAAATGATAGCAAGCATTCTTCTGGTTCTTCGTAATAAGATGACTTAGGTAAACAGTGTTCCAATGTGGCGACCAGCAAGGGAAAAATAAAAATTTCCTTGCAAGAGCAAGATCCAAAGGAGCAAGGCTGTAGCCTGAGAAGCATAGCTTTTATGCATTTAATTATTCCTTCACGAAATTCTTCACATGCCTCAGATGATGAAAGCAAAGCCCCAGAAGTTAATTTTTTTAGCACCATAACCATCTGAAATACCATAGCTTCAAAACTCAGTGACAGGCAGCAATCAGAATTAGATAAAAATGTTTCATCGTAAACAAGCAGTGCCATTACTTAGCATGTTCATTTGTACTTACAGATATTAGCAAACCTTTGACAAACTCATAGTTGAAGTTAACTGAAGGCTTAGCAACTTAGCATTTTAGGTCTTGATTCAACATAATAGGATAATTAACAGATGGAACTTCTAAAACTCATCATAACAAAATATACAACTTATAGATTTTAAATTTACTTGAAGTGATCATCATCACAACCAAACGTTCAGATAAGCTTGCTTGAGCCCAGAGAGTGACAAGGAGAAGAGAAGCTGGCCTGAGCCCTGGGTGTGACAAGGAGAAGAGAAGCTTAACACGGCAGAGTTCTTGAATCATGGCTAACAGTCCAGTCCATTATGCCTCGCACAACAATCAGGTACAACTCAAATCAAGCCACCAATCCAAGCAGAACACACTCATCCCAATAGTCACAAATTAATTAAATCAGCTAAATAAGATCAACTTCGCATCTACTACTTGATGAATTTTACATTAAGATCTCTTGAGTTGTTAAATTATTAATGAATCATTCAGGATTCTTTTATATTTTGAGCGCTTTTAAAATAACATGTGTAATGGCATGCGCCACTCACCCTTAATAATTATGTGTGCACGGTTCCCTGCATTATCAGCTTATGCTCTGGCAAATTTGGTGAGAGAAAAATTATGCTTCTTTCTTGGGCATGTTAGTTTTCTAAGAAGGAAAACCATCTTTTTTTGTTATTCTTCCAACTTGTACTCCTCCAAACTTTTGATAGTGGAATTTATACACCTCATCCCATGCATGTAGATCATTCTTGATCAAACCACGTAAATTAAGCGTTCTTGTCTTAGCGTGCTTGTGCTTATTAATTTTTTATCATATTTGATCATGTGGTACTAGTTTTATTTCTTTTAGGTTTGTATCATTAAAAAAGGGCTGATCTGAGACTTCTGCATAACATATTCCCATTCATGATCATTTGCACATCCAAAAAGAAGATGAAAATATTCATGCCATGCTTCTCATGTCTCAAACACACACATGAATTAGAAAGCTATGATTCATCAAACAAAACATAAAAGGAAACGTGCAATGCTTAATGGGTTAAGATAACACCCCCTCTGGGTTCAATGTACACAGAAAAAGTTGTGATTGCATAGCCTCGATTCCTCTTGAGTAGCTAACTTCATTGAATGGTCCTTCTCAACTCCACACTTCAGCAATAAGAAGGCAATAGTTCCTCCACTGCGCTCTTTTGCTCAGTCAAACAGCAACAATGTTTCACCTTAGGAATCTCTCTTATCAATTGATGGAAGTGAAGGGAAATCAACTACAATTATTCACCCATGTGGCACTCATTTGGCTCGCTCTAGTAACAAAAGACCCCTTTTTAACCACTCTTACGTGTGGCAATGGCAACACCGTAGAGGCTACTTTTCCTAATGGTCTGGGGACAAGTTTCCTCGGGTAGACTGGTGGTTAGGGATCACGTTAGACAAGCCTATCCCCCCTAAAGAAAGAGAACTGCATTGGATACTGTCTGTTCTCTCTCTTGAGTATATTTCGTTCAATCGCCTACTGAAGGCTGCACTCGATTGACGGTCCCTGCTTCCGCTCAGTCGCTCCCAATTCCATTAGATTACAAACAATTACATTCACCAATCCAATATCTAAACTCTACCTTATGATCTTTTGAGCGACACACATCCAAAACAGGAGAAAAAAACTGATATAATTTAGGCCGTTACAATAAAGTTCATTAACAGTTTCGGCTAGCAGGTACCAAATCATCCAAAAAAAGCCCCACTATTAGCAAAACTAAAGAGCTCCAGCTCATAGTTTCCGGTTAATTAGACAGCCTAGAAGATTTGTATGCCATCTTCAACAATAGCTATGATCTCCGGCAATTCAACCTCCAAATAAAGCTCAACAAACAAGAAAAAAAATGCAGCAAAGTATATAGATGTCTGACCTGATTCACAGACCCTAAATGGCACTTCGTTAGAAGCACCTCGAGGCATCTCAACGTGTCTTCAGCCACAGAATCACTAATCACTTGACCACCACCGCCAATTGAATTGGCTTTCTTTCCAGACCTGCACTGAACGGCCGCGTCCAGCAGAAGCAGGAGAGGGAACAGAGTATAACTGGACATAAAATGCAAAAGAGTTCAACAAATGTCTGTGTCATCAACAATCAAAAAACAAAAATCCAGTAGCCAGCTGACAAAATAGCAATATCGAAAAGGAGAGCTTAACTCGAGGCAAGGCTGCAGACCGGCCGCGGGAGAGCGGCGAAGGAAGTCGGCCATCTCGGCGAGGAAGGACGAGTTCTTCCTAGGGTTTCGAGTGAGTTCAAGGAGCTCTATGCAGTAAGGTTTGAGGCGTGAGAAGATGCGCTGTCGATTTTCACTCGAGGAGGTTCCGCGCTTGCCCTCGAGTTCTCCCATTCTGATTGTTCGTTACGCAAGGAAGATGGCAAAAGCTAAACCAGATATAAACGGGAGGAAAAAGAATGAAACGGCGTGCCCACAGTCGACGGCGAAGCAACAGCCAAACTGTCCGCCGTGCGACGCGAGAAGTAAGGCGAGTGGATTGCTCCCGACGCCGGAGCGAGGGAATCCGCTGGTCGGGTAACGTTGTGGACGACTCTCGAGTCTCGTAGTTTAGAACAAATTGTCATGGCCGACTCATCGTAGGGTGGGGATTGGATCATAATTAGCGGGTTGGAGGCGGGTACAATGAGTTGGTTCGGGGAATGTATGCCCCGATGGCAGATACAGCACATTCAGGTCATTGGGTTCGCGGGTCTAGATTGAAATGCGGGAATTTTGCTGACATATATTTTTGCCCATATTTTTTATTTGAATGGATTTAAATGTATCATATTATTTAATTCTTGATATATCATCAAAATATTATCTTGATTGGGCACGAATCTCAAGACAAGATCAAGTTGAAAACTTCAAAAATAAAATAGGAGATCATTTGAACTCCGTTTTTAATAAACTTACAGCCGAACTGAACGTCTCAGAAATAGAACTCAACAACACCAAATTCAACTTAATTCGAGCTCAAATGGGCCAAAATCGAAGACTCTGAGCATATTTGGAAGGGCCAAACCATAATTTGGATTATCAAACGGTTTCCAAACGTGACATGCTTATAGTCGAATCAAGTGGCTCGACGAGATAAATCAACAAGCCCAAAATCGTCAAATTTTGATATCACTAAGGAATTCAAATGTCTAATAAACGGTCCACGATCAAGGGATTCAACATCGATCATCCATTCAAACCACTCTCAATTTATCCTTGATCTTCCTCATATTTACTAGCCATGCTACTCGCAGAAAACTATAAATAAACCCCTTGTTTCTCATTAGAGGGTGAAGAAGGAAGGGAGTCCAAGCAAAAAAGAGAATAGAAGGAAGCAAGAAGAGAAGAAAAATAGCTCTCTTGCCACCAGGCTCCTCCTTGACAACCATTGGACTTTCACCCGGCAGCTGACCGACGCTAGAGTTCTGCCCGACTGCCAATTGACGCCGGAGTTCGACCCAGTCGTCGATTGAAGCAGTTCTACCCGATCGCTGACTTATATCTTACCAGACTTTCGTCGGACTTCTACCCGACATCGAACTTACACCCTTTGTCAGACTTCTGCCTGTCGTCGAGCTTTCGTCGGATTTCTACTTGACGTCGAACTTCCACCCATCATCAGACTCATATCCTTTGTCACACTTTTACTCGTCGCCAAACTCACACCCGTCGCCGGACTTCTGCCTATCGTAGGACTTTTGCCGTACTTCTACCTAACGTCGAACTTCCACTCGTCGCTGGACTTATATGCGTTGTCGGACTTTCTACCATATGTAGGACTTTCGCACGTTATTGGATTTCTGCATGATGCCAAACTTCCACCCATCAACGATCATTTCGACCTCCGTCGCCCACCGACTACGGTCCTTCCGACCTCCATCGCCCGCCAACTACAATACTTCTGACCTCTATCGCAGATAACGATCTTTATGACCTCAGTCGCCCTTCGACTACGGTCCTTCCGACCTCCGACGCCCACTGACTACGGTACTTCCAACCTCCATCACCAGACAACGGTCCTTCTGACCTCCGTCGTCAAACAATGTTCTTTCCGACCTCCGTCGCCCACCGACTATGATCCTTCCAACCAAACAAACACGTCAACACTGATTTTCCCTATTTCCACCATGTATCTCACTCTATATGATTTATATTTGTTACATTAAGCCAATGTCTTCCCTCCAATGAAGGGACTCATTTGTAATAAACTACAAATACTAGTGTGTTCATTTAAACTTGGCTAGGCCCGTGGTTTTTTTTTTTTTTTTTTCCTTTTCAAAATTTTCCACATAAAAATATTGGTATCTCTTTAAATATCACACTCTCTCTTTCATTTGTTTGTGTGTAAGATCTTCGTACAACGCTAAGATTTTAAACTTTATACTTCTCTATTGTCACGAATATTCCAGGATGCAACAATTCTATTGACAATTCTATTGTATTCAGAATCATCCCAAATTAAATCAAAACTTTATTATCATGCACAAGAATTTGAGAAAGGAAGAAAGATAAGTTTAAGAAGTATTATATTCAAAATTATCTATATGATACTCGACCTTACTAGTAGATCAAGACGGAAAGTGATAACCAAGAAACCTTTGAGAAAATGGAGAGAGAGAGCGAGAACATAAAAAGAGAGAAGAGAGGAAATATTAGAATACTCAAAAATAATTGTGAGTCTCAAAACTAGCAAAGTATCCACTTTATCAATCAAAAGGTCCTCCCAAAACTATTCCTCGTGACTCCTATCATAAAATTTTTGCTTTGGATGCATTGGTTATTTTTATATAAGTTTAATTCTATATTGCTCAAAATATAAGCAGATATGAAATGCATAGTTTCTTATTTTTAAATAGATAGTCATTTCATAACCAAAGCTATGAGCATATTTTGTGAGCCAAACAATTGGATATATATATATAGATATATATAGATATATTCTTTTCAGATGCTGTATAACCTCTGCTTCAACAGGAGCCTTAAGCCAAGAAAGTTGGACGATATAATAATTATTTCTTGTTAACATAAAAGGAATTTTTAGAAGGAGAAAGATCGGCAATAGAACCTCATATAAGAAACATATTAAAAAGCTATGCAGAGAATCAATAAAAGGGTACTTTCAATTTGGAAGGAAGGCCTTTTTAAAATGCATTACTTAATAAAAGTGTTAAAAAAAAAATAGATGCAGAACATTAATCAACTAGTGATAAAAAGACAGTTTTGGAATGTAAATTACATGATGATGGGCAATTTTTAATAATATCAATAGAAACTTGCATGGCTCTGTAAAGCATTTGCAGTACATAAGATGCTGATGAAATATCAAAGATCAACATGATAACAACGAAAGAGCTAAGGAGTAACAAGTAAATCTTATTCAAAACTACTAAAAATTGTCAATCTTTGCACAACAAAAATACAAAATAAAAAGTCAAAATATGGATCCTTGATAAAAAGCATCTCTATAGCAATCAAATAATATGAAAGCTAGGATGTTCGTACAACAAGTAAAAAAAGGAAAACAAGGATGTAATTAAATATCACTCTAAACTTGTAAGACATATGAACAATGTCCTTAGAGAAGTTTGTGTAGAAAGATGGTTTCTAATTCATCTCATTAACAAATGTAGGTGTTATTTTCTTATGTAGTTGTATCATCTCCTTAGCCCCTTCATCATCTTGTGCCTCATTATTTGTTGAATAAAGTCTCCAATCTAATAGAGAAGTATCTACTAATAGTCTCTATTGAGTGTTAAAATTACTCACATGTTGACCTTATTGATTCATTAAGTAATAAAATATATAAGGAGATTGCAAGTACTTCTCTAGTTGTTGTCATTGATGATCAATGTAGACCATGAATACTTTCTAAAGCCATATATAATATCAATTAAAAATAATTGAGAAATACGAAATATATTATGAAACCTAGTTGGATGACCTTGTAGTAGCTCTCCAATCAATTTGTCTCTTTTATATGTTGAGGTCATGCACAGTGACTTGCAAATGTATATTTCATAGTACTCATTTATAAAACATAAAGCAGAAATTTTTTTTTTTTTAGTTTTGCAAAATCATATGTCTCACTTGTATTTCCATTACATTCCATTCTCGCATATAGATAACAGTAACAATAATGGTATTAATAGACAAATACATGCCCACATTCAATCATTCAAAATATACTTAAATTCTAATATGGAAAACTATACTTCTGTCTTTGACAACTGATTTGATTACAATTAGTAGATAAACTTGTTAGATAGAAATTTACTTTTTTTCCTCTCTTCCAGGTCTAGGCATGAAAGCACTAAATGTCACATAACTAATCAAATAAATTCAATTATATAGTTTATGGTGATTGAGGATCCTACAATTTTCAAGAGATTTAAAGGTTTTTAAGCATAGGTTAGTCCGAACAAAGCTGCAAAATAATTTAAAGGATACATTATTAATGATTTGAAGCGTCATATTCTCTTCTTATTTATGTTAATGCTTTGATTAGCTATCAAATGTAGTTCTTGAAGTCTACCTATTATTTTTTAATAGTATATAATGAATTGTAATTTGTTTACTCTGATTCTAGACTTCAATAAGTAAAGCATGTTTATTGGTTTCTTGTTTAGCTTGTTTAATCAATCTTTTCTAACATCAAATGCATAGTATAGGGATGCAGTTTAGGAGCTATTATTTTGTGCGGACACCAGACGGTTCTTCCGCCCTGTTAAGCGTGGGTGCCGAGCAATGGGGTGACGTGGTGCATTTTTATTGGTCTCCGGACGCCCTCCGGACTCCACACAGAATAACAAATCGCAGATTAGAATGTGAGGCGGATTGTCTGAGAGCTTTCAAAGGCTATAAATAGAAGCAATAGAGTTACATAACCATCATATCTTAGCTCTCCCTCTTTTTTTTTTCATCTCTGTTAAATTTCTTTACTACATAACCATATGAATTGGTTTCTTTTGTTTTATGAGTTGCTTTAGTTACTGAATTAGACAACGTAAAGAATTCTGAAAACCTTACAGGAAACTGCCATACAACAATGATCAATTAAAGAAAATAGCTTCAAAGTTAACATATGCATATTTCGAACAATTCTCTTCCATCCTACGCCATACTGCATGTTTAACGATCAACATATTCCTGGAACCAATCCATTCATTAATTCTTGAATTGGTATGCATGAAACTTGTTACCAATCACAACATTTATCTTGAGCAACGTATCACCACATATCAAGAATTCTGTCATTTATATTCACAAGTAATCAAATACTTCAATCTCCTGTAACAATGCATAATACATTCTACCATTGAACATCATAGTAATCGTTATCAAGAATCAAAATTAAAAGTAGAAAAATACCTAAAATTACAGTTCATAAACAAGTAAAATAAAATAAATTTTCAATTTCTCAAATTATTTGTTTCAGCACAAAAGGAGATGCAATTCACAATAGCAGAACCCAACATATATATATGTTGTGATTGGTTCAAAATTTGTTCTTTCTTTTAGTTAGATTATTTTGTAGCCTTTTGTATTTCTTGTTTTGTTTCTTGTGCAGCTTCTTATGCTTTCATTAG